TTGTGCGCACCAAGACTTGAACAGATCGCGAATACCTCGGAACTAGTTGGGCATGCAAATCCTGTGATGGTAGAGGGGCGTGAACCGGGAGAGTGAGAAAAGAGGCGGGGGAGACAAGTGAGTTACGAATACAGTTTTGATTCGCTTTCACGGTCATCGTATTTGCCTTTGAAAAGGCAAGAACCAGCAAGCTGGTTGTAGTTTGGATGCTTCCGGTATCATGCCATGCACATGAGACCTTTGGGGTATGGGGTATCTGCTTTCAGCAATCACATATGAGTGATAGGAAAAAATACCACTTTTTATTTCTTTTTTCTGCTTCGTCAGACGCCAAATTTTTAAAGACGATTTTTTTCACAGTTTCCGTTTTCTTTTATTAGACACTTTGTGTGATAAAAGCAAAAGGAGTGAATCCCATAGTCACGACGACTTGTTCAATCGCAGAACTCAGCAAATTAATCAGGGATTGGAATGACGAACCACAGAAGGCCACGTTAGGTTGCGCGTGATATTGAGTCGGACGATAACCAAGCTACCTATCACAAAAATTGGGTGATGTTGTCGGGGTTTGTACCTCGACCTCACGCCGGTGACAGTTAAGTAACTGTTTGGCCACAATCCTTGATGGATATAAGTTACTTATTAGAACAAGAACGTGGATTGCTGGAACACCGTCGTGTGTACGTATCAGTGTCCGCTATACGCAGCAATAATACAAGTGACCAGTGAAGCGCTGATATTAGATGAGAGGTTTTCTTTTCATTTTTACTTCCTTTTATTGAATATACAAAGATACAATTTTCAGTTCAAACTGGTTGCAGAAAACAAAACAGACGTGAATAAAGGACGAACATGTGCGAGAAGCAAAGATAAACAGACCAATAGGAAAAAGATGAACGGAAAATCCAGCTCTACGAGTTCAAATTGGGATTTACAGTCTCATTTTGCGTATGACTAACAGTCACCTACTTTACCACACCTTATCTGTATTGGTCGTTCCAGACAGTAGAAAACCAGGGCTGGAGTCAAAAATACTCCGTAACTGAGTGCTTGGACACAATGAAGGACATGGCGGCAAACCAACAGCAGTAGAGTTCTTGTTGTCACTTCTTATCAGATCAGAATGCTTGGAAAGCTATGTATGCACAATTAGACTGTGTACTGACCATAGATGTTCGCTTTCTTTTCCCTTCCCTAAAAATAGGCTCAATCCCCATCCTCTTGACACATTCTCACCTACCTTGTATGCACTGTGATTTTGGTAATGACCAGTGAAGTTTGCTTCACTGTATTCCGCTGTATGATGATGATTGCAAGAGTTTTGAGAAACCGATATTCTACAGCTTTTTCTTACCTCATCACGTTTCGTGTGCGAGCTCAATTATGACTCAGGCGAGTACCGGATGACAATGATCGATATGACACAACCTCGTTGCACAGCTATTCACGCTCACGGAGACGCGCTACACAGAACAGGGCATCAGCTGTTTTCCTCACACACACACGCACACAGATCAATCCAGATTATGTATGCATCAGCGACGTTTGGACCCACCAACACGCGTGTTTGCATATGGAACTTTCTGAAATCCGTGAAGCTATATGAATGGAGTTTCGTACAGGAAACCATGCCAACAACACAAGCGTGTAGTTCGGGTTGTCAGTAGTTGCGACAATACAAAACACCACGGGAAACTACCGCATATGGCAAGAAGGGACTTGAGAACTGGAAAATCCTGATAGAACATCAACCGGGTGGTGGGTGCACAGTGGTTTAGTCGCTGTCACCTGCTTTGATTCCTATGGTCCGAGGTTCAAGCCCCGCCACCGCCACCCGACTTTGGTGGTGAGCAGCTGTGCTGTCGTCCGGTTCAATATCACACCTGACCTATCGGGGCCTTATGTGGTACACAACTCCAAGTCCCGGCACTTAGGTTACCGGTTTTTATCACTGAACAACAGGCCCTCGTGACTACGGGGCTTTTCCCGTCAGCTGTTCATCACACGAAATGGTATAATGAAAAACTCCGATTGGACTGCGGTTGTTATTTACCGCTCAAAGACCTTCAGAGTCAAACTTTGACTGGTCGAAAACTGGGACTATAAATACTTGAAAAAAATTACTCTGTTCCGGTTCAAGCAGTCAGTTAGTATTGCGCGCGAGGAAAAGGAATATACACGGGTTGTGTTTTTTTCGTTATAACGATTGGTGTAGGGCGTGGTTGACACACGGTCTGGGTTTAGACAAGTAAGAAAATATACGAATGTAATATAGTTGATTTATCACTTGGCTCAGCCAGGGCTTTTTAACACCCGAGTCAGTGGAATCCACTCACCTTCTAACCGGCAAAGCGCACACATCTGTTGTATGCAACGATCCAAACGCGCTTCCTCGGCCGAACGGGCTTGGAATTCTGCGGCCAGAGCACGTAAAAACAATTTCTCATAGACTGAACAGGCACGAATCGCTGTTAGTTTCGGTGTGGTGAACATCTCGCGCAAAGCAGCATTAATGTGTTCCATGGATACGGACACTGAATCCGATGATTTGGTTTTGGACGAGGCGATTTCCGCTGCGCGTCGACAAATGTCCAACACACGACGTACATCTCCGGAGACCGCAGCCACTTTTCGGGAGGCCAATTCAATTGCCTTTTCCTATTCAATACGGAAGTGAATCAAGGTATATTAAATTCAATCCGTCCGTTTTTTCATGTGACCGGATACGTATGGTGATGAAATAATGCTGTGTACAAACGCGAAAAATTTAATGTTTCATTTGAGCAGGAAGCACATTGGATAGCTCTAAAAAGGGCACTTCAGATCAATAAAAGGTCCTCATTGCAGGCCTAATGACTGAATGCTATAGTACTCTTACACAGATCATGCTAGGATGCATGAGTCCATTAGGACCGTTGAAGCTGGTGGTGGCGAACTGAAAAGGGTCAATTGTGGTCAAACTAAGACATGGTATGAGGGTATGAAAACCCTAACCAGGAGACTGGGTCATAAACGTCTCGTGAGGATTCCTGGATGGGGACCCCGATATCATGGTAACCGATGGTTAGAGAAGATGGGTGATCTGGTTGGGTGTCGCAAACAGTAGTGATCATGCATCTACCCAATAATTTTGCAACCGCTGTCTATATGAATTCTCTATCTTTCGCTTGAATTTGTTCTCAATATTCCAATCTTCATCCTGCTCTTTTAGTCAAATGGGCGGTCAAAAGACAGCAACCAAAACCGGTGCACAAAAGTGCACGGTTCAAGGTTGTAGGAACTGAACTGAAACTTAGGCTCTAAATATTTTCTCGTTTTTGGACATCCTTTTTAGAAGTTCAAGCCCACGAAAAAACGTTTACACTCGGCAGTTCTGATGCAATGATGTACTCCTGGTATGATCTAAGTAAAATCAACTTAGCCTTCAATTGTTGGGGCTTCAATTGCGGTAGGGGTTGTTGTTGTTGGAGGTGCTACTATTGCGGACAGAAAGTTTCAGTTGCCAATCCTCAAACCAGACAGCTGAATCTAACAGCAAAACCTTGAACAAGTTTCTTCGCCCCGTGATTTAGGAAAATTGATTGGGAACCATGATTTTCCAACACGATAGTGCCTCTATACGCAGACCCGATTCCACTGCAACACAACAGCAAGAATATGAGCTGGCTAACCGAAAGTTTGTTTTTGAAACCTACGGGAAATAACTGGGATCTATTGACCAGGCAGGTCTACGAGCATGGAACGGTATACCGTACTATCCACGAACAACATAAACATCCAGACAATCCGGAACCAGATAGAAAGTATGCCTGAGTGTTGCGTCTCAACCACGACTAAAAATGAGAGTCGATGTGGTTTGTAACCAATTGGATATTTCCAGTATTATCCTGGAGCATTTTGTTACGTTAGCGGTACATTTCCTAAGACTATCTATGCTCAGTTCGGTCGATGGATTCGTACTGCTGATGAGACCAAATCAGGTCGAAACAGCTGTTTCCTAACTTTCCAGTACACGCTTCATTTGCTGCCCTGTTTACACGACAAAATTCACCATGTGATTAAACCAAATTCCCCCCGATGCTTTCATAAAATCGTGTTAGCAAAGTCATGATCGAAATCCATTAGATTTGCTCATACTGTCGCGAGTTGTATGATACTCATCATCATGCCAGATTTGACCAAGTCTAGTTGGTTTGATTGCCGTGAGATGGCGGAGAAACCGGGTGGGGTTAACAGTACTTCGTGCTTGACCTTCAAAGCACGTACAATCCGGTCTGCATAAATGTTGAAACAGTTGAAATTCTTTCATCCGGAAGTGTTGATAAAACAGTCAATCAAGATAATAACCTAACAAAACTCTCATTCGTCAGAATCTTGTTGAAAGATTATACAAAACGCCGAAAGCGTAGTTCAGTCACTCAAAACGATTGTGAATTTACTATTTGNAATGAAACTCAGTCGGGATCCAGAATCCGCATTGCAGAAACGGACTGATTGCCCAACAACAAAAAACGAATTAGGTGAGACAGGATAAAATTCCACTGTCTTTCTGTTTGGTATACCGCATTTACCTACAGCTGTGTAAGCGTGGTTTTGTGATGACATACAAAGTAGCGGGTACGAATGGAAGCGCTGATTCAGGCTCGAGGGGG